GAAATCCACCTATGTAATGTTAAGTGTAGCAATAGAATATAAAAAAATTATAAATAATTTTATAAATTTTTATGCTTCTAGTTCTATTTCTAGTTCTGGTAGTAGTTATGGAATAACTGAAGATGATTGGATAATTATATGTGATTTAAATAAGATGTTACAAGTCTTTTATGATGCTACAATGTTATTATCTGGCTGTTATAATCCAACAGTTACTTTAGCTGCTTTACAAATTTTAAATATTTAAAAGTTTTTTAAATATTATATGGATGATACTTTTGGATCTCTAATTTTTTAAATGGAAAGCAAATTTAATAAGTATTTTAGGTCTATTCCTCATATTTTTGGTTTGAGGATTCTTATTGATCCATATATGAAGGATGTTGACCTTCAAAGTTGTTACAATCATTATATGATGGACAGATTATAGACTTAGATGATAGATCCACTCTTACTTCTAATTCTCATCATTTAGCTATTAGAGATGAGTATGCAGGTAGACATGGTGTAGCTACACAACAGTCTACAGCTTCAGTGCCTTCGAGCACAGACCGAGGTAAAAGTGTAAGTTTTGATAGGTATACAATGGTAGTTGAACTAACTGGTGGATCTGGACTTGGATCAGCATTATAGGTTTCTGAAATAGATGAATATTTATCTGCTTCCTTAGTTAAATGTCAAAGAAATACTTTAGATATTTTACAATGATGAAGAGTATATGGATTAGTTTCATATCATATATTTTTCACCATGGTTCGTGACTTACTAACAGTGCAGGTTTCGATGGTAGCTTTGAAATTCACCTTCTGCACAACAGGACGTTTGATCGACGACCACAGAACATACTTAGATCAGTATATTGTACAAGCGATGATGTGCTTACAAGATTGGTGGAGGTACGAGAAGCGAACGTAAGACATCGATCAGATGGCTGAAATTGAAGATAAATTTAAAGAGTTGGGACTAGCAGATAGGTATAAAGATTAGATAATATTCATCAAATTGTAATTTTTATTTCTTAGCTTTAAATTTATAATGAATTATTTTAAAAAAAGTTATAAATGATAGTGATATAAGTGAGTAGGTGTCAACCTAGTTAGGATGTACCCATCTATTGTGATGCGACAAATTCTGAAATAAATTTATACGTGTAAAGAATTTACAGAGTATTAATAAAGAAGTTATTTTTATCATATTTCATTTTTATAATTTTTTGTACTTGTAATTTATGTCATTTCAAGTTAGTTAAAAAAATTTATGTTATTTTCTGTAATTTTATGTATATTTTATGATTTATGGGGATTTTAAAACTTTTAAAAAATAAAAAAAATTAAAAATATAATAATAATAAACCAAAAACCGGCCCGGGTCCGGGCTTCGGTTTTGTCGGGCTCGATTTTCTGGGCCGGGCCAGGCCGGCTCGAATTGACAGCCCTAGCAGTTACCATTAGCTTAAGTAAGAGGTAAACAAGGGTGACACTAGGGGCACACCACCAACCCCAACCCCAACCACACACTCTCTCTCATTTGCTACAGTACACCGGGCCCCACATGATATTTTAAAAATTTAAAATCTTATGTGAGGCCCGATGCATTGTAGCAAATGAGAGAGTGTGTGTGGTTATGGTTGTGGTTGGTGATGTGTCTCTATCATTTTCCTTTAGACAAAGATAGTGCTACTTGACAGAGATCTATTCCCTCTTAGACTACTTGCATTAAGCTTGGTATTTGAATTGATTATATGAAATTAGTATGTTTTATATTTTTTAAGATATGACCTATATTTTTTTTATTGATTATATTCTGATGAAAGCAGATCTGCAAAGAAATCTTCAACTAAAGTGACACTAATCATTTTTAATGATTTTGAATACTCTTTATTGTTATTTTACCGTGGACAAAATACCAATGTGTGTGTATATATATATAATCATCAAACCTAGCCCATTGAATGTACTTTAAATACCTTATTTTAGAGACCCTATAATGTGATAGCGGATTTGTTTACATGGCTTTATGCATATTAGTATGATGACATTAGGAGACAAAAATGAAGTATACTAGTAGCTAGTAAGTTAATTAATTAGCTAGTGCCATACTTTAGGAGATCAATTTAATGTTAGAGTGATTAGTTGTTGCAACTAGACAACAAATAATTGGCAGGAAGGCTTCTCAAATTGATTGATGGTGCATGGCGTCAGCATATTGAACTGTGATTTGGTGAACAAACATATGGAAAATATAATAAATCTCACCAATATGTAGCACTGTCTTCCATTTTTATCATTATTTTATTTTAGCAATAAAATATACTCAAATGAGGGTTGATAGAGTGATAATTTGTTATGGATGTCATTCTTGAAGACATCAAAATGTTTTGAAAAAACTTAATTTCTTCGTTATAAAGGAGGGAAAAGAGACGTCTTCAAGCATATAATATTTATGTTTCGTTTGAAAAACAATGAATTTAAATTTAAGTTGGTCATTCAGTTACTTATTTATCGAGAATATTATCAAGAGGAGGCTCAATTTTGTTTCAACCGTTAATTCATCCTGTTGAGTACGCAAACATAGTCGAAGGAGAAATATGTATCGTACATATGGTCACAAAATATGTGTGTATATGTTATATTAACTTGGAATCTCCCTCTTAATATCATACAAATGGGAAGATTCAAGCCCAAAAAATCCGGAAAATAAGAAAATACTGATATAGTCTGCGTTAAATTAATGATTCGGTAAATCAAAACCAGCAAGAAGATAGCGTAGAAGAGCTACAAAGAAGAAATATTGTTTGGTCATACTCGATTTTAATAATTAGTACATGATGATGAGAGCCCATATCACATGATCACTAGAATCCGTTTTCTTTAAGAAAAACACTAGAGGCACACCCTTCGGCACACTCTCAGCCACACCCCCTCACCTGCTACAGTGCAGGGGTCTCACATGGGATTTTTTAAAAAATCCCATGTGGGGTCCCCTGCACTGTAGCAGGTGAGGGGGTGTGGCTAAGAGTGTGTCCAAGGGTGTGCCACTAGTGCCTCCCTTTCTTTAAAAAAAAAGAATAAAATTTTAAGAAAATGCATTTTTTATTTGATGCTTTAAAATAAATAAAAAAAGTAAGAAGATAATAAAATTTCAAGAAAATGCATTCTTCTTTGGTTTGACGAGGAAACATCCCATGATTCTTCAGACCATGGGCATCAAAACCCTCGGACATGACTAAGGAGCACCTCCTAACACATGGTCTCGGGTATTCCAGGAAATTTAATTGTTGTGGGTACTCCCTAGGAGTCGAACATGAGATATTAGAGTATTACTCACAAGTAGCTTATCAACTCGGCTAGACCCTCTTGGGTGAAAATGTATTCTTTTAAGAGTACTGCTATGGGGACCCAAAATATAGGACCAAAGGAGGGAACAGGTGAGGTGTCCCCTCCCTATTGCATAATGAGTTGACCATGCCAATTCATTATGCAATAGGGAGAGGACACCTCACTTATCCCCTCCATTGGTCCCATATTTTGGGTCCTTAAGTCATTTTCCATTCTTTTAACCTCTTATATTAATCACCCTCATGTTCTGAACCTTGGGCGAGACTTCAAATTTAAAGTTTATTCAACCGGAGAAGCATAAATTATCATATGTCTTTGCATATTATTTCAAGATAATCTCGTCCATTTTGGATAGGAAAATATTAACGCGCAACTATTATAATGAAAAAAAAGTATACGCCTTTCTTTTTCGTTAACTGTGATACGGTCTATATTAAGAGGTTGGTTAGTTTCTTCGAGCTATCTACTTGACCATAATTAATGTTTGGCGACAGCTTCGGTGCTCGAAAATTTAATTTTTAGAGTACCGATGGCAACATTAGTAAATAAATACTTCTGCTATCTATTTACTCTCTCGTAATAGATTTAAGAGACAACAGGAATACGAATATCTTTCTTGTACAACTATCTTTCGTGTACCACTGTTAGTTTCGTAAATATAGTAAAAATTAATTAATACCTAAATATGAGTTACTCCGTTAGTTTGATAATTCACAGAAATGCTAAGAATACGTACCTTTTTACCCTTTTAAATAAAAGTTTAAATAAAACTATTTTTGGAGCACGGAAGCAAAACTCTTAACATATATTTTCCAATAAAATCCAACTCACTACTTGTACAAGCTTTAAACTCCGTGGAATATCTAGCTGTTTAATTATTCATATTGAACCTTAGTCCGAATGTCAATAGATTTAGTTTATTACAACAACAAAGTCCAGCCAACTACACTTGACTAGACTTTTGTCGTGACAAAATTTTCTTTTTCTTCTTCTTGTATTATTTTTATTTTTATTTTTACTTCTTTGCTCTTGATTATGAACACCCTATTAAATAGTAAAGAGTTTTTTCTTTCGTTCTTTCTTGTATGAAAAACTAATTTGATGACATTTTTAATGGTCTCTATTGAGCATGGAAAGATTCAACTTAAGCTTATTATCTCCCTCTAAAATTTAGTTTACGTTGCCTAGCTCTAACTCTTCTTACCTGGAATCACCTTCTCTAATTTCTCATCTCTCTCTTAGTGTTGATACGAGCTTTTATATGCAAACCCAACTTAATGTCACTTAATGTCAATTGTACATCTTCTTAATTCCCTATGAATCAAAAGACTTCAAACTTATGTTCCTTTCTCTATACTCATAGATCATATCTGACGTTTTTATCCAAATTAAAAGCTAAAGTATAGTAGAAAAATGTTAGGAAAATTGCTCTAATATCATGTCTCATATGTATAGCTTCTATACATCTAATTAAGCCGTTTTCCTCCTCATTGGAATTAACTTCGCAACATTAATCATCTACACATATACTTTTATGCGGCGGCAACGCCGGTAAAAAAGAGCCGATCATCGGTATACGACGATCTCGAGGCATCCGATGATCTCAACGCTTCGGATCCGCAATTCTCCCATGGAACTATCCATCGCCTTACAATCTTTTGAATCGGCATCACGCCCACAAATCTTTCTCACCTCTGTAACAATGAATTAAAAAAAAACACAATTAGTTAAATGTTAATGATTTGTGTCCTAATGTATCAATAACTAATTCTCCCAAATTCAATACTTGACTAATTTGTGCTAAATTTAAATTCGATACCAATTAGAATTTATAACATATTGGGGGGGGGGGGGGGGGGGGGGGGGGCGGACCCTTCCCAAATATATTTGACTCTTAAACTAATAAATCGTTTATTTACTTTATATACCGTCATTAAAGAGAAGGGAGTGAAAAAATTGGTTCACGTTAAATTTACCTATACATGTAGCGTTTATCTTGTTCCCCATTCCAATCTCTTCCTACACAATTAGCAAAAGCTGAGAAAAATCCGCAATCGATAACCGTAAATCTTTCAGTCTCCATCCGTCGCGACGCCCCGAAGCAAAAAATCCCGTCCACGTTTCTCCTACCGATCCTAACCTCACCATAACATCCTCCCATGCGCAACCAAATCCACCCTCTTTTGTTATCAGCGACCAATAATTATTGCCGAACGCGATACGGTGAAATGATATTTTAACCGTGTCCGATCCCTTTTTGGAGGCTCACAACAGGCTGTCCTCACTATAGTAACTTGCGAAGCCACATACAAATGCGCAGTCACGATTCTTCCACCTCTTTAGGAAGATTGTGGGTTTCTCCTCTAAATGGGCCCCTTAAGTATCGGATCCCGATAGTTGTTCGATCATTTGCTGGGTTGAGATTTGAAGGAAGGAGGAGGAGGCGAAGAGGAGAGTGCTTCAAGTTTGGAGAGAATAGAGAATCGTCAATTGGGTGATCTATTTAGCGTGGTTAGCTTTTTATAAAGGAGGTCTCCATGTTGGGTTAGTAGAAAAATAATACTCGTATCTTTCTTCTATTTTAATAATTATACTTTGATGTGACGACAAAACCGGTTTGTATTATTGGGTGATGATATGATTGCTGAAACTCCAGGGCCTAGAGAATTAGAGTGGGCTATCACGTGGTATTCATTAAAGTATCGATATTTGCTTCAGTATAATTATTATGCGGTTTTTTTACAGAGTACGACCATGAACACTCTATAAGAGAGAAAGATAGAAAATAAATAAAATTATGCCACAAGAAATTAATGTAATCAGCGGGGCCAATGACCTATTCATTTTTCTCTATCTCTCTTCTCGTTTTTTTATAGAGTACGCAAATAGGCACCTATAGAAACCGAATTATTGTCTTATTGTAAAAGCGTGTAATATATATTATTAGGCTTTTGTTTGGCAAAAAAAGCTGAAAGGCATACGAGATTTATAGCTGAGAAAGCTGTGGAAATTGAGCTGAAAGAGCTGATAGCTGTGTAGGCTAGGGGCTGATTGAAGTAGAGGCTGTTTGGCAAAAGTACTGTTAAACAACTACTAAAGTTTGTTAAATGTACTAAAAAGGACAATACAATATTATTGATATAAATTAGAATAAAAAGACAAAATTTTGCCGAAATTAGAACCATAAACAGAACACCGAAAAATTTAAAAAAAAATTGGGTAGCTTACCTTTGAATATGCATGGTTTGTAAAGACAAAGGAAAGTCCAAATGAGAGGTCGAAACTAACCTTTTGACAAATGGCTTCATGGAGATGGAAAGAGAACATTGTTCAGGAGAAGAGCAAAGAAGGGTGTGCAGGTGTGAAATGAAAAAGAAGCTAAGGGTTTTTTAGGTGGGGTGTTAGTAGCTTTGACATTTTGGCCTAATTATTAGGGGTAAAAAACAGAAGGAAAAAATTGACAAATCTTTCCAAAGATAAACGCTACTGTAAGATAGCCTTTCCAAAAGCTACTTGCAAAAAGAATATACATCTCCAAAAATAATCTGCCTTCCTATTTTTTATGCACCGAAATAGCTCTACTGCTTTTATTGACCAAGGTCAATCAAAGACACAATTTCTTAGATAAGACACAATTTCTTGTTCCAAACAGTGCCTAGTTTTAACTGAAGAGGGTCTAGGCAAGCTATTGTAAGTAAGTTGTTTATTGAGTAGTATGTCTAAGATTTTTAGGCTCGACTCTCATTAGAGCACACGTCCCATTAGAATTTAAAACTTTTAAAATTCGAGGCCATACGTTAGGAGGTGCTCGCTTAATACATTCTCCGATAGTGATCCCGTTATGTACTGTCCGAATGATCGTGCAGATTCCCTCTACGCTGCATCTCCTCCCTCTCTCGTCTATAATATATATATATATAAGTATATATATATGATATATAGTATATAATTATGTGTGTTGTGTGTGTGTGTGTGTGTGTGTGTGTGTGTGTGTGTGTGTGTGTCGTGTGTGGAGAGAGAAGAGAGAAGATAGAAAACTTATGTTAACTTAAGGTGGACCATCCATCGAGAGTTTTCTAATCGCAATTAATGAAAAAATCTCTTCATATGGATGCACGGAATCTCAAGTAAGTTCATCAATGTAGTAAGAAAAATTTGGTGGATTGTCCACTTAAGTTGCAATAAGTTTATAATATATATACTACTATATATATTATAATATAATATAACATATATATATATATATAATATATATGGACAACTAACCCTGAGCTCCGAGCTACAGGAACTTCTGCGCGAGATAAAAATTTAGCGTGGCAAAACTGTTGATTTGGGGTACGCCGTACAGCTGTGGGTTTTTTATGAGAAAAACGATCGATGACTCTCCGTCGTCTCCCAGAGTTCTTAGCCCTATTTCATGAAATCGAGGGCGGGCGGAGCGTCATCCAAAACCCAATGCGATGGCTCTCTGCTCCTCATTCTCAGGCCACAATTCGCTGAGCTCGAGGCGCGGCAGTGGCGGTTCCTGAGCTCGAGGCGGCGGAATCGGTCATTTATTTGACTCTTAAACTAATAAATGTATTATTTATTTATATATCATTAAGAGAAGGGGTAAAAAATTGGTTCACGTAAATTACCTATACATGTAGATATCTTTCCCATCCAATCTCTTCCTACACAAATAGCAAAAGCTGAGAAAATCCGCAATCCGATAACCCGATAAATCTTCAGTCTCCATCGTCGGCGACCCACAAAAAATCCCTCCACGTTTCTCCGATCTACCCTCATCACAACATCTCCAATCGCACCCAAATCCACCTCTTTTGTTCACACCAATACTTATCGGAACCGATACGTGATGATATTTTACCGTGTCCGATCCTTTTTGGAGCTCCAACGAGCTGTCCACTAGTACTATGCGAAGCCCAATACAATCCGATTCACGATTCTTCCACCCTTTAGGAGATTGTGGGTTTCTCTCTAATGGGCTTATCGGATCCGATAGTTTTCGGATCATTTCTGGGTTGAGATTGAAGGAGGAGGAGGAGCGAGAGGAGAGTGCTTCAGTTTGGAGAGAATGAGAATCGTCAATTGGGTGATCTATTTAGCGTGGTAGCTTTTTATAAAGGAGGTCTCCATGTTGGGTAGTAGAAAAATAGATACTGGTATTTTTCTTTTTTAATAATTATATTATTGATGTGACGACAAAACGGTTGTATTATTGGGTGATGATTGATTGCTGAAATCCAGGGGCTAGAGAATTAGGTGGGCTATTCCGTGGTATTCATAAAGTATTCGGTATTTGCTTCAGTATAATTATTATCGGTTTTTTTACAGAGTACCCATGAACACTCTATAAGAGAGGAAAGATAGAAAAAAATAAATTATGCACAGAAATTAATGTAAATCAGGGGGCAATGACCTATTCATTTTTCTCTATCTCTCTTCTCTTATAGAGTACCAATAGGCACTCTATAGAAAAACCGAATTATTGTTATTGTAAGCGTTGTATATATATTATCTAGGCTTTGTTTGGCAAAAATAGCTGAAAGCTACGAGATTATAGCTGAAAGCTGTGAAATTGTAGCTGAAAGCTGATAGCTGTGTAGCTAGCTGATTGAAGTAGAGCTGTTTGGCAAAAGTAGCTGTACAACGCTGATTGAAGTAGAGCTGTTTGGCAAAAGTAGCTGTACAACTAGCTTAAATTTGTTAAATGACTAAAAAGGACATACAATATTATTGGTTTGGCAAAAGTAGCTGTACAACTAGCTTAAATTTGTTAAATGACTAAAAAGGACATACAATATTATTGATATAAAATTAGAATAAAAGACAAAATTTTGCGAAATTAGAACCATAAACAGAATCCGAAAAATTTAAAAAAAAAATTGGGTACTTACCTTGATATGATGGGTTGTACAAACAAAGGAAGTCCAATGAGAGGGTCGAAACTACCTTGACAATGGCCTTCAATGGAGATGGAAGAGAAACATGTTCAGGAGAAGCAGAAGGGGTGTCAGGTGTGAAATGAAAAAGAGCTAGGGTTTTTTAGGTGGGGTAGTAGCTTTCATTTGGCCTAATTATTAGGGGTAAAAACAGAAGGAAAAATTTGACAAATCTTTCCCAAAGATAAACGCTACTTAAGATAGCTTTCCAAAAGCTACTTGCAAAAGATATAATCTCCAAAATAATCTCCTCCTATTTTTTATCACCAAATAGCTCTACTAGCTTATTGACCAAGTCAACAAAACACAATTTCTTAGATAAGACACAATTTCTTGTTGCCAAACAGTGCCTAGTTTTACTGAAGAGGGTCTAGCAGCTATTTGGTTAGTAAGTTGTTTATGAGTAGTATTCTAAGATTTTAGGCTCGACTCTCTTAGAGAGCACCCATTAGAATTTAAACTTTTAGAATATTCGAGGCCATACGTTA